CAACTAAAAAGCCTCAAAAGTACATTCTGTTGCCCAACAGCAGCAATATTTGTCAAACTGTAAAGAGTCCTCAGCTTGTCGCTGTATGTGGGTGGAGTAATACACAAGGCTGAAGGGTTAGGAGGCTGAACGAGTGCTGTTACTGGCAGAAAGAATATTGCACAGCTCTCAGCTAATCACATTAGGACCCAAACAGAACTGTTGTATACATTATTTGCGTATAATTTTATACGTTTAATACGTTTAATTTAGTGGAAAAAAAGCATCTTAAGGACTACTTGGATAACAGAGTTCAAACTCAGAATCACTAACGTCCAACAAGTTCTTGGTCTCAGTTTTGACACGTCTTTAGGAACAGAGCTCCGGTCTTTGTGTCCAAAGATAATGCCGTACAAAGTGCCACACTTTGGATGATGCGTTCACGCTCCAAGTTATTTTGGGAAACAACAGCCATGACCTTGGGCAGAAGAGCTGTCCAATTTAGGACTTCAGTTGGATCTCCTTTTGTTGCTCTGGCATAGTTAACAGACTCAGTTGTCCCGTCATCATACACAAGTTGCGTATTCACTATATATTTTAATTAAACTTGTTTTGTTTGAAAAAAGTTTCAAACATATCTTAAATCATATTGTAATTTAGTTTATATTGCATAGATTGATCCTGCAGCTTCAGGCACCATTCTTTTAGTAATCTCTAAAAGGTCTAATAAAACTTACTTTCTTCTTTCTCTGTCTGGTGCGTCCATCCATCCAGAACGTCATGAGAATCAATATGACCCTTGCCTATAATTAGATATAAATTGATTCTTACCATAAAAATGGGTATGGTGGAGCGCTAGAGTGGTAATTCATTTATTTATTCATTAATGAAATAATAATATGCATGGGTCACCCTGAGTAGGTGTGAGCAGTGCATTCTTGCTTACTGTTATAAATCTGTGTGTCTGCAGTATAATGGACATCTGGAAGCTTGAAGTGATTTAATATAAAGTCATTCTCACTCCGAATGCTTTAGCACCTATATACAGTGGCTTAAATTTGACTAGTTTTACCTTTCTAAGAGTTGAATGAAGTGATAAAAATGTAAAGTGTTAAATAAAGGTAATTACAAATGTTATATTTGTATTCACACTGATTTTATGTATACAGTTTTATACTTCTAATTAGAAAAGAACAGAAATACTGTAGTTTCACACTGAACAGTCATTCATTCATTTTCCTTTGGCTTAGTCTCTTATTTATCAGGGGTCACCAGAGTGGAATGAACCATCAACTATTCCGGTATGTTTTTCAGAGTTTTTGTTTATGCAATTCATAGAACACTGAGACAACATGCAAACTCCTTTTAGAACGGCCAAATGGCCCAGTTGGGACTCAAACTAGCGACATTCTTGCTGTGAGGCGACAGTACTAACCATTGAGCCACTGTGCTGCCAACATTGAACATTTTCTACTATGCTCAAATAATCAACACAAGTTTCCTAATAATTTCAGTCAGTCATATTAATATTGAAAAATTCAGATTCACACACTGAAAACAGTCATGTTTTTTGTATGAATTTGGGTCAAAGACTTTTTGGTGTTTGCATCAAAGTACTTTTATAAAAGTGATTTTGTCGATGAAATGCCTGAAGCAAGTAATATTTCAAATAAATATTTATTTCTAAATTAAAAATCAGTATATTTGGTTGAAAGAAGGGTGACGCGGTGGCGCAGTAGGTAATGCTGTCGCCTCACAACAAGAAGGTCGCTGGTTCAAACCTCGACTGGTCAGTTGGCATTTCTGTGTGGAGTGTGCATGTTCTCCCCGCGTTTGCGTGGGTTTCCTCCGGGTGCTCCCTCACAAATCCACTGCGTAAAACACATGCTGGATAAGTTGGCGGTTCATTCCGCTGTGCTGACCCCAGATTAATAAAGGGACTAAGCCGAAAAGAAAATGAATGAATGAATGAATGAATGGTTGAAAGAACATGCCATTGTCATTTAGCAAAGCATATTTATGTACAAATTAAACACACATTCTTATTTATTGCAATTGTGATAATATTACTATTGTTCATTAAATTATATATGAAATATGAAGTGATCATAGTAAAAGAATGAGCAATCATGTATATTTGATTAGGGTTGGGGAAAGTTACTTTAGAAAGTAATGCATACAGTAACAATATGGAGTTACCCCCCCCACCCCCCCACCCAAAAAAAAAAAAAAACTAATTGCATTACTTAGTTACCTTTTTTGGTAAGTAATGCATTACTTTTGAGTTACTTTTGCGTTACTTTTGTCTGACCTGGCTGAGGCTTGATCTCTTTCAGAACATGCAGGGTTTTTTTCTTCTTAATAGGGAAGCTCTGCAGTTACCAACACACTGTATAACCTTCATTTACCTTAAAAACAAACAAACAAACAAACATGTTTGACACTTTTGTACTTTCTGTCTTATTAAAAAGTAAAATCAGTCTATTCAGATAGTGCCCTTTCCTTTTCTTCCATGTGTTCAAAATGAGAATATTTCTATCACAGTAGTGTAAGCCAAGGCTCTGCCATCTTCCTTTCTGCCTGTTCTGTTATTCTCTCATTGCGTGTAGGATTCATCGTGACATTTTATTCAGCATTTTATTTTTAAAAAATGGATTAACTAAACTGAAGAGAAACTTAAATATTAGCACTTAATTTTGAAAGGTAATGCTTGTTGCTTAAAAAATATTATTACATAACTCGTGTTAGTTGTAATGCGTTACCCCCAACACTATATTTGATTGTTGAAATTTGTATTTTTATTTTATTTATATTCATTCATTTTCTTTTCGTCTTAGTCCTTTTATTAATCTGGGGTCGCCACAGCGGAATGAACCGCCAACTTATTTAGCAAATGTATTACACAGACTTGTGGGGGAAACCGCTGCACGCAAATACGGAGATCATGCCAACTCCACACAAAAATGCCAACTGACCCAGTTGAGGCTCGAACCAGCAACCTTGCTGTGAGGTGAAAGTGCTACCACCATTATTTAAATTATATTTAAAAAAAACTTTTTTGAACAATGTATTTTTAAACATTTAATCTAGACAACTATCCGAAATAACAACTAAGTTACGTCACAGGTACACATACTCTATATTAGCACACATTCATTCATTCATTCATTTTCTTGCCAGCTTAGTCCCTTTATTAATCCGGGGTCGCCACAGCAGAATGAACCGCCAACTTTTTGAATTTATGAACCTCAAAAATTAAAAAAGGCATTAATTTGACTTAAAGACAAAGGGGGACCAGAAGCCATATTCTATAAATGCTTTCAGAGTCAGTTGGATTAAAAGATGTTTAACTAGTTCAAATTCAACATAGTTTTTTTATTCCCAATTATTGGTTAAATAAAATTGGCGGGTTTGGTTTTAGTTAACTTTTACCAGCAAGCATTACTAGCTTGGAAATATGCTATTCTCATAACTTTTCTCCACATAAAAAAAAACATTTTTATGGAACAACACTGATATTACAGTTAAGAATAAATCCTATTTATTTTTATAGAGATATATTACATTTATTTTCCTTATTTGATGACTTGGGGAACTTGTTAACTTATGAACAGTTTATGAAAATTCATCAATTTCCAATCCCATTCAAGAAATGTAACATTATTGTAAATGCTATCCCAAAAGAATTATTACATCTAACAAAAAATCACATTTCATATATAAATAATAAAAAAAAAAAACATAGAACCCTCCTTATTATTTAAAGGTATTAGTGTATATATGATAAGAAATGCAACTACTAACTTATTCTTCGAATTCTCCAACAAAAAAATCGAATTGCTCCAAGAGGGAAATCATATTGGTCAGCGTTAATAGAAGATATTGATTGGAACATGCTTCTCCAATATAAATATGTAATCCCAAACAAAGCAAAGGAAATCCATTTTAAAATTCTACACAAAATATTTCCGGTCAATGCATTTATCTCAAAATTTACTGATATTGTAGATACTTGTTCCTTTTGTCAGGAAAATGAGGAAACGCTCATGTTTTTTCAATGTAAAATCTCACAAAAGTTTTGGTCAGATCTGTATAATTATTTGAATAAATCCCAATCAACAAAACAAATCTTTAAACTGAAAGAAATTATTTGTTATTATTCTAGTCTTAAGAGTAAAAATGAAGAATATATATTTAACTCTTTTATATTACATGCCAAATTCTTTATCCACAAACAATAATTTCTTAAATCCTCTCCCTTATTTGCCCATTTTTAATTGAAATTGATTCCTTGCTTAAAGCTTTATGTCTATCTAACAACAAAAAATTCTGCAAGTTAATATAAACTTATGAAAATATCATGCTTCCAGTATGTAAGTAATTAATGCTTTCTGTATTTCTTGATTTAATTTAATTTTGTACTTCCCCTTTCTTCATTTGTTCTTTTTTCTTCTCTTTCTATTACTTTTTTAATTTTTACTTATTGTTCTTATCACTTTATAATTGTATTCTAGTCTTCTACAGATTACTTCCTGATTTATATTGAAAATTTCTTCTTTTCTAAATAAAAGTTTATAAAAAAAAAAACATACTGTATATCAACACCTTGACCGTCACCGCACTGTGTAAGCTCAGTCTTGAAAACGGTAAATGCACGTGATAGAATAATTTATCAAGAGAAGGTTTAGACAAAAAATATGTACAGAAAAAGTTCCATCAAATCCAAATGGGTTCAAAACAAAAACAAAACGAAACGGCAAAGTACACAGACAGCTTTCCAAGAACACTTCACCTGTGAGTTCTAACAACTACCTGCGTCTGAGGGGTGGGGCAAAAGTTATGTCAACTGCTTTGAGTGACAGAACGACACACCAATAAACAAGCAGCTGCTCCACATACGTCAGCGCTGAATCGAGCCAATGACGATTGATTGGATGTTGAAGGACTCCGCGGACGCGCGCCGTCCAATCAGCGTGCTCCACATGCGGCAGAGAGGCAGTATTGAGTCTCCTGCAATAAAACAAGAGTAACCGCCACTTCCATCACCAGTGAACGGACGAGAAGGACGGCGAAAGGGGTCGAGCGTCACATTTCCAGGCAGGCAGAGGCTTGGACGGGGCTGATTGTGATGTACTAAGCAAGGAGCTTTTCTTTGGCGTTCACTGACACACATTTCTTTGGGGCACAAGAAGAAGACTGTTTGGATAAGACTCCTGGAAGGTGCATTTGCCCGTCTCAACTTTCCACATATGTTCTTCATTGTGGATGTCAATGCATGTGTCACTCATAGGCATATTCTTATATTTTTGTTCTTCCTTTTTTTTTGTAAACAAGGCAGATTTCTTGACTTGAGCGGGATTCTCTTCCCATCTAACCATGGAGAACGCTCACACCAAGAGTGTGGAAGAAGTTTATAGTAATTTCAGCGTCAACGAGAGCACGGGACTGACTTTAGACCAGGTGAAAAGGAATAGAGACAAATGGGGTCCTAACGGTACGTCTGATACATTCTGTTCTTCAGCGTCATGTCAGCCAGCTGAAGTTGACATGAAATTGTTTTACATTTGTTGCAATCAGCCGGCAGGAGCGTCCGAAACATCTGACGTCATCAAACACGCTTTATGGCAAGCCGTAATAACAATAATTTTAGTTAAAACCAACTGCTTCTGCTGTAGATTTTCCCCCAGTAAGCAATCCCATTATTATTAGTATGTTTTTTTTACCTTTTAATTTTGTTTTACTTGATTGTTGAGTTTGAGCTTTCCATGTATGAAATTGTTAGAGTGTCCAGTAGGCATGGGACGATAACCGTTTTCAAGGTATATCGCGGTTTGGTAAAGTAAAGGTTTGAAAACTGCCAAAATTTTCTGCTATACAGTTCCTAAGGTCTGTGGAAAATTTTTCTTATTCATGTTTTTTTTTTTAAGTTTTAGGACAACAGTATCTTCAGCTGAAAAAAATATCCAAACATTTTGTTTTAAATTATAAAGACATCTGTGTTTTTGAAACAAACAAATGATTTATTTGAATTATTCAGGCATATCCTGACATGTTTACTGCTCCAAAATATTTTTATTATTATTTTTAAATGTTTCTCAAAATAAAATCTATTGTGTTCAAAGAGGGGAAAAAGTTTTTGGGTTTTTACCCAAAATGTATAGATAGATAGTAGTGATCACAATACTGTGAAACAGTGAAATCTTTATCCAAGGTTATCATACTGTCAGAATTAGGCATGGGCTGACATAAGATTCTGATGGTATAATAACCTTGGTTAAAAATATCACGGTATTATGATTACTGCTCTAAAATATATTCTTTTTAAATGTCTGAGTAAAAACCAAAACTTTTTTTTCTTTCTTTTGAACTCGATATAATTTATTTTGGAAGATCAACATATCAGGCTAAATGAATTGACTTCTGCTGTCTTCATTTGTTTCAAAATTAGATTTTATTTTTAACAATTTAAAGCGGCATCTTTACATATCTTTGCTGCTGAAGATGCTGCTGACCTAAAAACCAAAACAAAAAAACTAATACATAAACCAAAAAAAATCGTACACATACCTTAGGCACGGTATAGCAGAAAATGTTAACAGTTTGAAAACCTTTACTTTTCCAAACCGCGATATACCTTGAAAACGATTATTATCCCATGCCTAGTCAGAATCTTATACCGGCCCATGCCAAGTGTCCAGTTGTTCCTTGCATTTTTAATTTTACTATTAAGTTGTAAGCTGTTATTCTGAATAGTCCTTACATATGCAACGTGGAAAAAGTAGTTGTAGCTATATGGAGTTAAAAAAGTAATAGGGCTGGGCGATTTAGTGTAAAATTAAAATCTCGATTAATTGAATGTTTTAAATCTATTACGATTAATGTATGTTTTATGTAATGGACAGTATATGCCGTCTTGAGGTCTCTCGTGGATGCAGAAGTAATAAAGGCTTAACAGAGCAGGGTCACGTGACTCCACATGTACAGTAGTAGGGAAAGTAATTGAAAAATTGACCTGGAAAAATTAGCTCGGTTATAGGTTCTGAATGTCAGTTTTGATTAATCGCCAAGCCCTACTATATAATCCTTGCAGGAATTATGGTATCTATTATGATCCAAAAAATTACTTTTACTATTACCGTATATTGACTGTTTTTAAGTAATGACGGTTAAAGTCATTTAAAAAGGACTGTTTTAAATAATTATTCACACACACGGCATTGTTGGCTTACAAAATTCAAACAAACATCATCCTGTTGCACTACTACACTTGATTTTGGTTTTATTGTAAAAAAAAAATAAATAAATAAAAAAAAAATTGTTAAATGAGAATATGAAATATTTGATGGCATACTTCACAAAACAAAGATAATTTAATGTTCACAAATGTTTTATTTTGATTAGATTTTTAAATAAATTGGTCTTGCACTTCATATTTTCATGTTTTCGGTTGTATATGTATTAATTCCGGTACTATTACTCTAAACCGATATTAACCATTTGGTAGAGGCTGATAATTTTAAGCGTTACGCGTGTTAACTAGCGACATTAAGAGTTAAAAAAAATGCAATCCAAAAGAAAATTTCTTGGTGGGGTAGTTAAAGGGTTAAGTCATAAGCAGTTATTTTGAATAGTCTTCTCCTAATGTTCATAGTGATTAGTAAACAGGGAATTCATAATAGTGAATATTTGAATATAATGGAAACTGGTTACCTTAATGTAAGAATAAATGTTAAAACGGCTTGCCATATGCTTTTTTTTCTCTTCACAGAATTAAGCTGAAAGACATGTTGAAATCTTACCTGTTTGTTATGTGACAATCAAAGCATCATCTTTCTTTTTCTTTTTTTCTTAAATTAAAACTGGGCATGAAAATATTCCAGTCAGCAGAAGAGCTTGTAAAGGTTTCACTGCATGTGCTAAATTTCCTTTTGGATTTGAATCAAATATTTATTCCAATTTCTTTCTTTCTTTCTTTCTTTCTTTCTTTCTTTCTTTCTTTCTTTCTTTCTATCTTTCTATCTATCTATCTATCTATCTATCTATCTATCTATCTATCTATCTATCTATCTATCTATCTATCTATCTATCGTGAATTTTAATATACTATCCATCTATCTTTCTATCTATGTACCATCTGTATCGTATCTAGCTATCTACAGTATCGTATCTATAGTATTTTATCTATAGTATCTACAGTATCATATTTATAGTATCGTATCTATAGTATTGTATCTATAGTATCGTATAGTATATAGTATCTATATATACACACACACACACACACTATTTATGTACAATGTATAGTGCATTTTTGTGACTTTATGCTTTCTCTTTTTCATATCATTCAATAACCCACACAGAGTTGCCTGCAGAGGAAGGTAATAATTAATTCATAATCTGTAGCATGTTGTTAATCTTGCTCTTCTAGTCTGATTCTGAAATGTCTGATTTAAATGTTCGACAGGAAAGTCAATATGGGAGCTTGTCATTGAGCAGTTTGAAGATTTACTTGTGCGGATTCTTCTACTGGCAGCTTGCATATCTTTTGTAAGTACATGTTCTGGCAGATTTCTGTAATTATTACAGTTATGTGATATTCTTGGAGTGCAAACATGGTCAGCCATTTGTCAGCTGGGCTTCTCAGTACATATTCGTGTCAGGTGTTGATGGCTTTACACGAGAAAGGAAGCATAGCAATTGCATGCACTCAAATAAGCAGCCAGAGGAGCTGTGAAAGTGAAGATGTCTTGTTAGCTTAGTCACCGTGTCTTTGATTACTCACAGATCAGAAAGGCTAAACGGCTGAGGAAGCGCAACTCCTTAGGAATGGTGACAACAGCATTCAGTGAGATTGAGTGTCTGTCACTAGCTGCCAAATGAGACGTCTTGGTAGTGCGCTGCTGTTTTATGACTGGGGGTTAAGGACCTCTTGATAAATGGGCCTAGATCGTTTACCACTGAATGAAAAGACATGTGGTTGTTTTGCTTGGAGATTTAAAGGGGTGGTAAGGTCAGGCTGTCAAGCAGATTTATGGATGAGATCAATGTATTATATAGAGCTGGTGTTAGTGGTTCAAGATCTTATAAAATAAAAGTTTGTAGGTTCACAGTGTGCAGTTTACCTTCATCTTTATATTAAATTGTATGTTAATTTGTCCACGCTTATATGTACATACACATTTTAATATTTAATTTTAATGTACAACTTAATTTGTAATAAGCTGTAATTTACTTTAAAAATATTTAGTAGTTTATTATAATCAAGTAAATGTAATATTTGATTTTTTGTATTGTTGTTGTTGTTGTTGTTGTTATTATTATTATTATTATTATTAATAATAATAATTATTGTTATAATTTTATAAGTATCACATTTAATTGCATATAGTAAATTGTTAAATGATTACCTTATAATTTATATTAAAAGCTATTAAAATTAAGATAAATATCAATTATTTTTTTAAAATATTGTTTATTAATAATAATAATAATAATAATATTTATTTATTTATTATTAATTTATTATTATTATTATTATTATTATTATTATTATTATTATTATTATTATTATTATTTTTAGGGGTTTTCACCTTTACTAGGATAGGACAGTGGAGATTTTACTGACAGGAAAGTGTGGGTAGCAGTGATGGGGAAGAATCGGCAAAGGACTTCGAGCCGGGAATTGAACTCGAGACGCCATTAGCACCTTGGTGCTATGTGTTAACGCGCTAACCACTAGGCTATTAGTGCTGACAATTGTTATTATTTCTAATAATAATAATATCTACTAATATATCTACATATTTAAAAAAAATATTTAATAGTTTATAATACGCAATTAAACGTAATATTTACTAATTTACTTTTTGATTATTATTATTATTATTATTATTTTGTAAATATTTCATTTAATTGTAAGTAATACACTATTAAATTATTACATTTAACATTTATATTAAAAGCTATTAAAATTAAGATGTATATAAATTATTTTTTGATGATGATGATGATGATGATTATAATAATGATGATGATTATTATTATTATTATTTTCGTAATCTGTTTTTATCATAATAATATGATCTAATTTTTCAACAGTATGATGGTAAAGGTTACAAAAATTTATTGGATTATTTAATATATATAACATTAATTCTTTAATTTATTGTACACTTAATAATATTAATAATAGTAATAATATTTTCGTAAATATTACATTTAGTTGTAAATAATAAATAAACTATATAAAATAATATTATTAATAATTAATAGTTTTATTATTTATTATTATAAATAATTAATAGTTTATAATACGCAATAAATGTCATTTACTAATTTACTTTTTGATTATTATTATTATTTTGTAAATATTACATTTAATTGTAAATAATAAACTATTAAATGATTACATTTAAAATTTATAATAAAAGCTATTCAAAATAAACATGTTTATAAATTATTTTAAAATTATTATTATTATTATTATTATTATTATTTTCATCATAATTTTTTTTAATAATAGTAATGTATTGTACAGTATGATGATAAATATATATATTTTTTCCCAGTACTGGGTTGCAGCTGGAAGGGCATCCACTGCGTAAGACATATGCTGGAAAAGTTGGCCGTTCATTCCACTGTAATGAAGGGACCCCTTAGTAATGAAGGGACTAAACCGAAAAGAAAATAAATGAATGAATAATAATAGTTTTCATAAAATTATAGAAATTAATTGCATTACTATTTATTGTAATATTCATTTATGTTTTAGATATTAATTCCTATGTCACACCTATACATTAGTTTGAATATTATTTTATTTAATTTTAAAACATTTTAAACATTATTAAAATAAAATGTGATTTCTAAAATCAAAGTAATGGTAGGATGGTTGATCCTCATGCTTTGTCTACCCAAAAAGACATTACAGTTCATACAGCAGCTGATGAAACTGGCTGGTCGGGTTGAAGTAGAGAGGTATGCCAGCAGAGATACTGAGGTGTTGGACTCTGTGATTTGACAGCTGTCTCGTACTTGGCTGTGTAAGAGGGCATCTCTGTCGGCCAAATTAAGCTTCTGACCTTCAGTTACTAGCCTTTCATTTCCACAGACAGACCAGCAGCTCTCATGAGAACCACAAAGATTTTAGTTTATCTGAGTGGAGAAAAAAAGGTGTAAAATTTCACCGCTTCATTGGCATGCAAAACTCCTCTCTGAGTTGCAATAAAAGTGTGTGCTTAATGACCTGAAGGAAAGTAAACCACTTTTGTAGCTTCCTATTTTAGCAGGAGCTTGTACATAAAAACATACAGTATGTAAATGAGGGAAATAAAAGATATCGTGCTGGGACTGCAGTGTAATCTCCAGTCATTAAAACATGCAGCTTAGTTTTTATTCCCCCTGAAGTTTAAACTGGTTTCAGATCATGCCCTTTATGCAGTCCAAACAGAATCTCATGTGAATAGCTTCTAAGGGAAAATGTCAATTGCGCGTCTCGTCTCGAATCTTGATCCTCTAGTCTTGAAATATCCACAGGGTGTTTTGAATGTGAAACACTTGATTAGATGTAACAGGACGTGCTGTGACATGACTTTTTTTGTCTGCAGGTATTAGCCTGGTTCGAGGAGGGGGAGGAAACTATCACTGCCTTTGTGGAGCCTTTTGTAATCTTACTGATTCTTATAGCTAATGCCATCGTCGGCGTTTGGCAGGTCAGTAAACAGATTGTTTATCTTAAAAAATTGAAATATCTAATGTTGCTTTTTGCAAAAGTATGTAAATCATATGATAATTAGTTGGTCAACTGCATTCTATACCTCATGCATACATAAACTAAAGAGAGATTGTATAGTAGGATTAGGAAAACTGGTCAGAAAGGAAAATAAGATTCGTATTTATCTTAAAAGTAAAATCAGACACCATCGCTTAACTATTCTCTATTGTGCACATGCGCACACACACACGCAAACACACGCACACACACACACACACACACACACACACACACACACACACACACACACACTCACACACATAAAATAGAGGACAGATAAACCAAACGAAATTATTTTATTTTACTTTATTTCATTTATTACATTGATCTTTCTTCTAACCCCAACAATCTATTTTGTACTCCATATATACACATATATATATATATATATAATACGTTTTATTGATTTTTATATAATGTTTTTGTACAAATTATTTATTATATTTTTATGCATTTTATATTTTTATTTATTAATTATTATTATTATTATTATTATTATTATTAACAATATTTTAAATAAGTTAAAAAAAAGCAATAATATGCAAGTGGTATGACCAATTGACCAATCACCGTTGGTCAAATGTATTACAGACAATAAAGGGATATATTAAAATAAGAATATGAAGTAAGTGTTATTTAAATGTTGACAGATGCATCTTTAGCAGTTATATATAACATATATATTAAAATATTGAATGGTTTATTTTTTATTTAGTTATTTATATTTATTTTATTTTTAATATTACAGATGTATTACAGAAAATAACAGAATAAAGTAAAATAAGAATATGAATTAAGTGTTAAATGTTGCGACAATTAAATGTTAATAGATGCATCTTTATCAATTTGTGTATGTTTGTGTGTGTTAGTTTGTGTGTGTTTGTCTCTGTGGGTCTGTGTGTTTAATTTTTTTATTGTATTTATTTACAAATAAATATTTATTTATTTATTTGTAAATAAAATGATTTAGTGGAGGGCTAATCATTTTGACTTCAACTAAATATTTTAAATTATATATATATATATATAAGTTTGTATTTAATTTTTTATTTATTCATTTTTTTTTGTTTGTTTAATTTATTTATTATTATATTTATTTATTATTTATATTCTCAACTTGTTTTATATTATCCATCTCAGGAACGTAATGCAGAAAATGCCATTGAAGCCCTCAAAGAGTACGAGCCAGAGATGGGCAAGGTGTACCGTCAGGACAGGAAGTCCGTGCAAAGGATCAAAGCCAAAGACATCGTGCCTGGAGACATAGTGGAGGTCGCTGGTGAGTGCTGCGTTTTATATTATGAAGACAATGTGATCTGTGCGTTGCTCGGTCCAGTCTAAAAGCAGTTATTAGCGAGGTCACTGCACTTATGGGTTGTTATATGAGATAATAACACGCTCTCAGCTCTGTATGAACCCTGTTCAGCTTCAATTTAGGAGTAAAGGTATTTTTGGTTACACCTGTTGATTCTCAGAGGATTGTGTGCGTCAGTTCTCATCACATGTTCGTCAGCGGTCATGCTCTTTCCCAGAAGCATGGCTATATCGGTTGATGGCTCCATTGGTTTGCTTCTCATAGTTTTGCTTCATTTGTACAGTTGAAGTTAGAATTATTAGCCCGCCTGTATATTTTGTTCATCAATTTCTGTTTAACAGAGAAGATGTTTTTCTAAATATAATAGTTTTAATAACTCTGATTTATTTTATCTTTGCCATGATGACAGTAAATAATATTAGACTAGATATTTTTCAAGACATTACTATACAGCTTAAAATGACATTTAAAGGCTTAACTGAATTAAGTTAGGCAAGTCACTGTATAATGTGGTTAATAATTTTGACCTTAAAATGTTTTATAATATAAAACAATAAGACATTCTTCAAAGGAAACCGTAATATATGAAATACTGTGAAGATTTACTTGTTAAACATCATTTGGGAAAATTTTGAAAAAGTGAAAATTCAGTGGAGGCCCAATCATTTTGACTTCAACAGTATGTGGAGAGAGAGCTGCTTGATTACTCTTTGAAAGATTGTCATCTAGATACAAACACAGGCATGATGACATTAAATTGTTTAATAAATCTTTAACCATTATCGTCATTTCTGTTACAGAAAATGTACTTCTCACAGAAGTGCTGGGGTATTTGTTTATAGTAAAATCACTGGGAAACATCCATACACATGCACATACATGCACTACGGTCAATTTAACTTACCCAATTCACCTATAGTTGAGCCATCGTGCCGCCTTTTTAAAATTGTATTGGATAATTAATATTAATTATTACGGACAATTTAGCCTACCCAATTCACCTGTATCGCATGTCTTTGGACTTGTGGGGGAAACCGGAGCATCTGGAGGAAACCCAAGCATGGGTAGAACATGCAAACTCCACACAGAAAAGCCAACTGACCCAACTGAGGCTTGAACCAGCGACTTTCTTGCTGTGAGGTGAACATGCTATCTACTGCGCCAGAATGCAGCCCTTTTAAATGAATTGAAACAACACAATTCTTAAGAGTCTTTTTGGGTCAATTCAAAGTTTTCTGTTCAGATAAACCACAATTATGTTCTACTTAACCCTAGTATATTCAGTGGAGCTTGTGCACTAGCCTGCTAATATTGACGGGCTCGTGCGAGTAAACGGCTTTTCAACTCGTTTTACGCTTGAGCAAATAAGTAAATGCCAAAGACTATTTAACTGATTACATTGTATTTACATTACATAATTAATGCTATAAAATGAATCGTATAAAATGAAAAAAAAAGAAGTGTCAATGATGTAGTAGTTAAGGTGTCAACTAATGCACTCCAGTGCTCACGGTGACCTGAGTTTGATTCCCGCCTCCCGGTACCATGCCAGTCATTTCCCTATCTGCTCCCCGTGCTTTCCTGCCAATACTCTCTACTATTTAATACATTTAAAGGTGAAAACCCCCAAAAAATAATTATTAAAAATGGAAAACATTAACCATTCACCTGAAGTTTATCAGTATTGGAAGAAACACTAGCTCGACATATACCCTACACACATGAAACCACTGTTAAAAAAACTTAAGTGAAAAACAAAGTTCAAAAGATTCTATCAAAAATGTTGATTCATCCACAGAGTCGGGTAAAATCTTTAAGGGCGTACTTGCACTATGCTTTGGCGCGGTATGCTTGTAGTGTGAGTGCAAAACGCGCCAAAGCCTGAAACTGAAAGCGAGACGTGACTTTAAGGGACTGTTTCATATGGATTTATTAATCAATCTTACTGTAAATGAACGCAAACTGCCGTAGATTATTAAAGACACCTTTAGCAGACCTCCTCATTCCTGCAGCACGAGGACTTTATGATTGTTTATGAGCGCCAAAAGTGGCGGATCTGTTGGGCGAAATATCTAACTGCGTGTCACTGCATCCCTAAAGACTGCTTGGCGAAATATTTGACTGCCTTAAGTCCCCGAGTCATTCAGTCAAACCATTTAAATAATAAACTGATCTTAAACTAAAAACTGAACTACCCTGATCCTGTTACTATGACCATTTATGTGAAGCTGCTTTGACAATCTACATTGTAAAAGCGCTATACAAATAATGCTGAATTGAATGGAATTGAATTGAATAATACTCATTCAAATTAAAGGTATTTAATTTACTTCTGCAATTAACCATTTATTATAACATGCAATATGTAATTTAATGTTACAGAGATAGAAAAGCCTTGAAATAAAAGCTGTGATAAGGAAGCCCAAAATTGTCTTCATGTGAGATCTGTGAATGGATTTGGGCAACTGATGCATTAAAGAACTTTATTTTATCAGCACTGCTTGAACGTTTCCTTTCTGCGGACCAATTGGTTCTTTTTATCGCTTTTGTGCATATTGATAATTCTTCTGTTTGACGCTGATAGGCTGTTCAGAATCAGATTATGGAATGGTTTAATTATAACCCACAGTGACAATGGTGCAGATGACAGGTGTCGGCCCTGGGCCCATCGCCCACCCCTTCTGCAGCGTCCCACTGAATGCAGCATGTGACGTCAGATAGAATCCAGACAGACTGCAAAGTCACCTTGGAGAGGTCATTGCTGGAATGGTGCTCTTTGGAGGTTTCACGAATGCATCTGTTTCATAATTCATCAGTGTTAGGTGTATTTTATGCATAATGCCTTGTAGATAAATATGTGATAACAGATTTGACCGACCAACCCTGCTTCAATGTGATTAATTTAGAAAGAACAGGTCACCTGGAGCTTTTTGGCTGAATCTGGAGAGCGTTTCATAGTGTGACATCTGCGCTGATTGTTTTAAAGTGCTTTCCTGTGGTCTCTAAATCTCTGTTTCTGCTCCTGCTGAGGGTTGTGAGAATGACGCAGTCCGAGCTTCAGCGCAGCACAGCCGCTGCAGAGGACTCTGGGACTGTAAACGCTTCAGTCGTGAACAGAATTACAAATGCCGCCAGTGGCACCCTGACAGCCTATCAGTTTTGCACAGGGCCGAGCTCAGCATGCGGCCCACCTCACAGTCCCTCATTACTCATCAAACACTGTAATTAGCATAACTTACAGTCTGCTTTGATAGTCTAAGTCAAAGTGCTTTTGATATAGAAGACAACAAATATGTAGTGACTGATGTAAGGATAGTACTTGGTATAAGAGATGTTGAACTCGTAGGCTTTGCAAAAAGGCCCCTGAAATCTTAACCCTTAAATGCACACCTCTGGTTTTTCCATGACCCTTACTACCTTCCCTATTTATTCAGTTTTATTTATTTAAAGGGCACCTATTTTACCCATTTTTCAATATTTAAGATGATTCTTTTGTGTTTTCAGAATATGTATGTGTAGTTTCAGCTAAAAATACTCATCGTATTATTTGTTATACCTTTATATGTTGTCTTTTATAATTGTACTGACATGCGGATGTTGTGATGAATTATAGCGATTTTACTGACCTTATTACAAACATGCACTGTTTTAACAACGTTTTAAACTTGTAAAACTCATTCTTAAGGTGCAGATGATCACAGAGCGCTGAACAGATCTTTTAATCCCAGCTGCTTTGTGCAAGTCCTGTCTTGTGGATATGTTTATAAGCGTTACTCTCGGGACATGTTAATACAAGGCTGTTAAAACTGCACTCCTACGTCACGTTCCAGTTCTTTTTATTGTGGTTTTGCCTTTTATATGGAATAGTATTTTGACTGGAAGTGGATTTGGAGGTGAGTGGGAATGGGAAAGGTCCAAGAGTTGGGACACAAACTTGGGATGTCAGTACAGTACCCATGAGGCTATCAGCATTGATAGAACACCTCCTCCTTTTTGTTACGCACAATATACCATGGGGAAAAAAATTTAAAACGTATATCTGTTTTCAAATAAATTTTTATTTAAAGCATATAATGTCTAGAGTTATATGATGGAGTATTTTTCTGTGCAACAATTAAATGCGATGACTCTTTAAGAGCAAATCATCTTTTATTCCTTATGGTGGGAATGTCTGATACGCAATCGTATGAATTCCACAGGATTAAAACCAAAGAATCTCATCAGCAAAAAAATAATATAAAATTGCTTGAGGGGTTGCTCTGCAGATGAAGGCAGATCTAGCAGTCAGCTTTCAAAATATATTTTCAAAAGCATCATTTCTAATGACTTTAACATGTATAATTAAGGTTGTCTCATAACTTACTGATCCATCCATGTTCTGTATATGACTGGGGCACTAAAGACCTAAATATGTAATAATGATTGGCAAAAAATGTGGAAATGTCAAGGTCATGATACCCAGTGAATTCATTTATTTGTTTATTGATTTATCCATCCTTCCAACTTTCAACTTGGGATGCCTGTTGGGTCTTAAAAAATCTTCATGTCTTAAATTACAAAAAGTAAATTTTAAGCCTTAAAAAGTCTTAAATTCATTGAAATATTGTGTTATAGGTAGGGCCACATAGAATCTGCAGATGTTTTTTGCTATTTCTGTGGAGAATATTAGTAAAAGTCTGCAGAATTATTTTGGGAGTATCATAACTAAAACCTTAATATAAGAAATAAAAAAATAATATCTTAACTTTTATTGTTTAAAATGCATATCCAATTAGATTAACTTTATTTGGTAAATAAAGCAAGTTTGTTATATAATATCTCTAGCAAAAGACAGAAAATAATACTGTACAAACTGCATTGTACATAAATCAGATAAACATTTTCACATTAGTCAATAATATTACTGAAATTAATAAAAAAAACTGAATAAATATAGATTTCCACACATTTACTCAAGTAAATAA